AGGAAGGAAGGAAGGAAGGAAGGAAGGAAGGAAGGAAGGAAGGAAGGAAGGAAGGAAGGAAGGAAGGAAGAAAAATACAGCCAAACTAGAGGGGAAGTCAGCAACCTGTCCCATGGCTTCTCTATTTGGTATATTTTAAATCTCTTTGTGTCCATTGAACCACCAGATTTCCTCTCTCTGGGACAGAACCAAAATCAGAACATCAGAGAAGGGAAAGGAATAATCCCATCTGAGCACGCCAGAGAAGATGTTGAGAAGATGTTTCCCAGCATCAGCAACGAACAGTCCTCCATTCCCAGTCAGCCAAATAATGAAGGAGAAAGAACCGTATCAGATTGAAACTCTTAATTTAACTCGGCAAGACTGTTCCAAGTAAGACACTGAAAGATGGAGGTGTTTCTAAAATGGCCAGACATATAATGTGTAGCATATATCACACAGACGCATGAACATACATGCATATCCATTGAACAATTATTAGAACCATAGATGCCTTCTGCAAATACATACACACATACAGCTATACGTAGAGTTCCATATTTCCGTCTCTGATTAATCTTTTCTTTTACCCAACTTTCGTTTTGGCCCCTGTTGTTACCATTTTGCTTAAAGCGCCTTTGGGGTGACGTTTCCCTTGGTTTTCTTAATTTGATTCCTCTCTAAAACCTCTGAGCTCATCTTGAGACATTAAGCAAACGTTTCAGCCCTCGTTGAGTTTTAAAAAATAGAAAATAGCTTTCCGAAATGAACTTGCATTGAAAATAATGGAGGTTAATAATGCTGTATCGCAGAAGAAAAACAGGCCAAATATTTATATTCCCAAAGCCCCAAATACACAGAACCAATTCCAACATACATTTTAAAAAAAAAGAATGCAAGTCCCGATAGCCATAGACAAGGATACACATTGCCAAAGGCACCCACGCTAACACCCCGATGTTGTGTGGCACACACAAAGAAAAGCGAAAGCTGTCTTCTCTTTGCTTTTTCTCCTGGCTCTTCCCTTGATACGCTTTAGAAAGAAAAAAAAACTGAGGCCTTATGATTTTGGATATGACCCAGCCTGCTTTTCAGTCTGCACGTCTTCCTTCTGATTGTTGTTATTTTAGAGGCCCTGGATTTAGTGACATTATCTAAGTCCCAAAATCCTGACTGCTCATGTGCAGAGCTCTAGGCTCTCACGCTTTCTCTCTCTCTCTCTTTCTATCTATGGAATGGAATGTAAATCGGTATATGACACCCTTCAAAGTGGATTGTGACTCTTTTTTTCCGCATTTATTTATAATTTTTTTTATTTTTTATTAACAAACATGTAAAATACACACACACAAAACCTAGACGTACAGTGGATTATGACTCTTATTATTGCAATTGTCATTTTACAAAGCTTTGCAGTTTATCATCTCCCCCACACACACTCTCAGCCAGCATTCCAACTCCCAGTCAGACCCTTTCTTCTCTTTCTCTGTTTCTGAGCTACAAAAGAGCTACCAAGCATCATTTGAAAATTATTGTTATGGTTATTGGCTATAGCTGTAGCAGTATTTTCTCCCGTGGGTTTGTTTTTGCAATTGTTAACGAAACATGTGAGGTTTTTAGTTGTGGTGGTCTGACCGTGAAGTCCTTTGCATTATTTTAATGACTGTTGTTATTGTTATTGTTATTAGCCTGAATAAATCCACTTAGAACAGAGGCTTCACACTGAGGATTTTGATAATCCTCACTCTAGTTCAGTGTGGATTGGGAGATTAACCTTAATTACCCTGACAAATCCATGGTTTTCAATGTTCACTTCCCTGATACTGTTTGTGGCACTTCCCTGCTATTGGGTTTGGCAATATCCAATTTCTGGCATTCCCAGAAATCTATTCATCCTCTTCACTACATGTCAATAAGGGTTGAGTATCCTTTAACTCTATTCCTTGTCTATCTCAATGATATGGATAAAAGAAGCCATTTATTTCCTTCCCTTCACGTCTGTAAAATGCTGGGGAAATAAATCAGCTATTTAAAAAAATAGAACCATCCCTTTTATATCTACAAAAATCTCCTAAATTTATGAACCACGGCCATAGGTCAATCTAAAGAACGAATCGATCCATTATAAAATGTGTTTTGGACTTGCACAATCCCGTAACAGAGAGGAAGGTCTGTTGGTCCCAGAAAAAGACACAACAAACGACAGGGGCGTAACGAAGAAATATGAAAGTGGGGCATTGATCCCAACCAGTGGACCTCCACGTGAGAAAACAGTGTTCCTGGGAAACAGGAAGAGAAGGGAAGCGCCGGGGGTAGACAACTCAACGGTTCTTTACGCCCTGTACTCCGATCCTTTAAAAAGAGCTTTGATTCCAATCCCTTTCTTACAATCCCCCGAGCACCAACCCCGGATTTTCTCACACGCCTGGAGAGGAAGGGCGGCTCGCAGACGTTCGCCCTGGCAAAGAAAACCTCCGGATTGGTTTTGTTTTATTTTATTCATTTTTTTTCCAACATCCCCCTACGAAGCGCGCTCACCAAACGACCAAGGCACACACCCCCGGCCCCAAGCTTTGGCAAGAAAGAGCGGGGCCTCTTCCGCTCCAAGCTCCCTTACTCTAGAGGAGACGCGCTGCCCGCACTGCCGAGCCAAGGGGGGATTCCCTGGCAGCCTCTCGCCACGCCACGCCACGCCCCGCCCCAGCCAGGAAAACCGAGACTCTGGGGAGCCGGGGCTCAGGGCCACCACTTCTCCTTCACAGACGGACATCCCTCCTCCTCCTCCTCCTCCTCCTCCTCCTCCCCCCAGAGGCCCCTCGACTCACCGTTGCTGGCTTTTCTTCCTTGGACCTAGAAGCGGATGTGGTGACGATGGTCGTGGCCGTGGTGGCGATCCGCTGGCTTCGATTGTTGTTGTCTCTACGGATAAGATGGCTGGCAAACACCGGACGTCTTGGGATTCGATTAGTTCTTAATGCCAACCCATGGGGTGGGGGTGGAGAGAAAGAGGCACTTGGCGTTTGCCACCTTGGTCGGTTTCTGTGGCGGGCGCGGCACGATCCAGTCGGAGCCCCTTGTCTCCTGGGGGAACCCCCCCCCCGCGCGCAAAGACTCGCGCAGGCTGCTCGGAGTCAACTTCCACCCGGGGGAGGGGATGGGGGGCACAGGCAGGCCTTTATAAACTGGGGTTGCAGAACACGCTAAATATTTCATTAAGGAGTTAGACTGAAGGCTCTAAAGATCCCCCCCCCCGACGAACAGGAGGGTGCCATTCCCCAAGGCTTGCATTTCCACCTATTGTATTCATAAGGAGAAGGGGGAGCTGTTTGGTAATAAAACTCTAGAATGGGGACCTTAGTCATTGTTTCCCCTCCCCCACCTTTTTTATCTTAGGTCCTCGCCGTTTTCTTATCCTATGATTCGGATCTCTTTGTTATATATGGAAATATATAATTTGGACCATATCACATCATGGTCAAATTAAATCAAATGTTTATTACTGTCATAGATCAGCATAAGCATGGGGTACAGTCAATTAAAAAGCACAGAAGATACTTCGGAGTCTTACAAATATTTAAAAACCTCATAACATATAAAAATATATGTATTAAAATAGTGTCTGTCTGTCTGTCTGTCTGTAAAAATAATCAAAGGAGGAGTAGCAACATTAAAAGGGTTTGAGGAAACATAGCCAGTCAAGCAAAAGAAAAATAGGGGTGATAGTATTTTCAACAGCTTTAATTCAGACAGTGCACGGTTTTTGATAGAGCCTGTCACAATTCTTTGCTAAAGGGCCACCTCTTAATCAGAATTAGAAAGCCAAGAAACCAAGTCAAGATTCCTGAAGTGAGCTGCTTTCAAACGGTTGCAAACCATCCAGCCATGACTACTGGAACGTTATTGGGAACAATCAAAACAGAGCAGGCTTATATCACAGGGACATTTCATAAACATTTCGTAAGCAAATCATCACAGCAGGCGATTATCAAAGCCCGTGGAAGCACAAGGTACATTGTTACACCGAACAGCATTTTTCACACAAAGAGAGCGATGGGCGGGGGAGAGAAAGGGGGGGGGGTGCGAGCCGAAGGTAGGCAGGTGAAGTGAGGCGGACCCAGTAAGAGAGGCACACTCTAAAAATGTGGGAGGACCAACTTCTAGAAATAAATCCGCGTTTTCCTTTCCCCCAAAAAACAAAAACAAAAAACAACGCTTCGAGCAAAGCCACCATAAGCCAGATGTCGGCAAGGTGAACCTGAGGGGGTGGGAGGAGAAATCAACAGCAAGCCGAAGGAGAACCTCCCGATGCCAAACAAATAGAAGCCACCCGTAATTGCTAATTAAAAATGGCATTCCTGTTTGCTTCGTCGTTGTACGCCAGGGGGGGTTGACGGTGGCCAGGACTAAGGAGGCGCACTGCGCATGTGCCTTAAAGCACCCACCGCCTTCAGTCGCCCTTACTGAAAGTTGCTCCTGGGTAGCCCTCCCTCCCTCGCCCTGGCATTTTTTGGGGAAAAAATAACAACGCCAAAAAAAAAAAAAAATCCCAGCACTCTCTCTCTCTCTCTCTCTTTTACCATTCATTGGCTTCTGTGCCCGTCCCGAGCTTAAGCTCTATCAGGGCTTCTCCTTGACTTTAACCAATGGGCTGCACTGTCAACAGACCTTTCCTCGCCTCCGCCTCCCGCCCAGGCGCTTCCTTCCTTCCTTCCTTCCATCCTCCACCCCCCCTTTCCTCCACCCCTCCCTCCCCAAGTAAACACTGAACCCAGCGCGCAAGGGAGGCCGACTGCAACCGGCTTCCTCCGTCTCCAGCAAACCAGACCGCAGTGACATCATCGCCCGCAACCCCTCACTCCCCCCGCCCCCGAATTAACCACATTTGCGCCGCCGACCCTGCCTGATCATATTCTGTCATAACCAGGCAACACCCCTTCTTTTCCTCTATTTCGCGAAAACGAGGCATCGTTATCTTTGCCACCCATCTCCATGGATCATTAGTTACACATTTTAGCCAATAAGGGAACACTTACCCGATTCTCCCTTTCTTTCTTTCTTTCTCTCTCTCTCTCATTCTCTCTCTCTTTCCCCCTCTCTCTCTTTTCTTTTCTGTCTCTTTTTTTCCTGTCTCGCTGAGGCTGAATTCAACTCCGCAGGAAATATGTATATATTAGGTATTTAAAAAAGAAGAAGGGAGAAAAAAGGCAACACCCAAAACGAAGAAAAAAGGAAAAAAAATCAAGAAAGCAAACCCACGCGTAAAAATAATCCTTTTCTTTTTGAACAAGGCATGGGGGACTAGCATCTTTCTCCTCCCCCTCCTCCCCTCTTTTTTTTTAAAGGTATTTACAACTCCTTGTTCCCCCTCGTTATTGCATCCTCCGGAGGAAATGTGTTGCGTTTTGCCCCTAGGGGTGGGGAATGGGAGGAGGAGGAGGAAGAGGAGGAGGAGGAGGAGGCAGCCAGCCGCTGCAGTAAACTTATTATTCCTAAAATGCCCAGAATAATCAACAATTTCAGCCCTAAGGAAAAGAAAAAGAAATAAAGGGAAAAAAGCCACAGCAAAACACTAGAAGAGAACAGAGACAATATGAGATTTCCTCCCAATCTTTCCATCCACCCCAACGAAAAAAAAAAGAGAGCTTAATAATAAAGGGAAAAAAATACAGATACCATCGTACCCCCGTTTCACTGGCACTGCTTGGACTGTTAAAGGAAGGACTACTGCGAAAGAGTCATAAGAGAAACCACAATAAAAAGTTCACGTTCATGGATGGAGTCCACATGACTTCCTGTGGCCAATCCAACTTGTGATTCAGTCGTAAACTTTTATTGCTCAGCTGTAAATTTTCTGCAAACAACCAAGAATGCGTTGCATTTTTTTTTGTGACGAGTGCAAATGCTCTTCTCTGTCGCCATGTTAATAGAAGTCTCCTTTCTATGCATCTACATGTGTGTGTCCGCGTTCATGCAATACACACACACACACACACACAAATACACTCACACGCATTTGGCTTGAGTCATTTTTCTTCTCATCCAAATCTTCCCTCACTATGAGATATTAATGCGAATAAGCGAAGCCAGAGAAAGAACCTCCCTTTCTTTCTTTCTTTCTTTCTTTCTTTCTTTCTTTCTTTCTTTCTTTCTTTCTTTCTTTCTTTCTTTCNTTTCTTTCTTTCTTTCTTTCTTTCTTTCTTTCTTTCTTATTTCTTTCTTTCTTTCCGCTAGGAAAGTGATGGGGGGCTGGGACAAAGAAAAGAGGGGTGTCTCGCAGCTGATGCGCCGTATCTATTTTTATGAACACCCTGATCGTGTAGTGATTTAAAATGCCGTGTTCCAGAGCGAGAGGGGAGTGTGTGCTGCGGCCGGCCGGTCGAAAATTTCGACAGCAGCCAACCGAGGAACTTGCAGTCAAAAGACACTCCATTTCAAACAGCCGACTTCCAATAGCTTTGGTAGTTCAAACTTTTCCTTAGTTGCAATTATGCAGCCAAGATCTTACCAGGAGGCTGCTGAAAATTCAGCAATAGGGGCTGTCTTGGGCCCTGGCTTGACTGACCTTTACAGCCGGCCGGCCGATCCTTCTTCCTCCCCTCAAAGCCGTTCAACTCCCTTCATTTATGAAATAAGATTATTTTGGGTTTCGTCCTCCCCCATCTCATCTTCTCTTCGGGAAGAACGGGGGTTGTGGGGGCGGGGAATGAGCGTGGGGGAGACGGATCAAAAGCGAGAGAAGAGAGTCTGGATTGGAACAATGTTGGAACAATGTTGGATTGTCAGCTTTCAGTCACTTGGTGGCAGTATACAAAACAAGTAAACAAAAATTGTGGTTTAAATAAAAGAATGAAGAAGGGGGAACAGAAATTACTACCAGGATTAAATAACACAGCATAAAAATGTATGCATTTATCGGAGTGCAGGTTACTGCACACTCACGTTTGCACACTCACGTTGTCTCTCTCTACCCACAACCTCCGTGATTATTTAAATCAAGGACAATATCTAAATAATGCCCAAGCAACCCTGGTACGCTCTAGATTAGACTGACCCAGTAGGGAATCCAGTGGCCAAAACAGAATTATTTTTAAATGGAAAGCCGAGAAACAACCTTTGAACTGAATTCACACAGTTGAAAACCAGGGAACCCTGCTTCCCTACGTTGAGGAAGGCAGCAGAAGCAGCCTCGGGTTTCTCATATTAGATTTGCATATATTAAAAGAAGAAACATTGACCAAAGGAATGGATTGCTATATAACCTACCCGGAAAATTATGCTCCTGGAAAGCTGAGCAATGGAGCCAAGAGACAAGGGAGGCTGCAGAAATCCCATGGAGATCAACAGAAATATTCCACTAGATCTATTACGAAGTAAATTGCACCCCATTGTTATGGAGCAGTGGGTTCCTCCCTTATATGCTTAGATAATGTAATCACATCCCCTATAGCTTAAAAGATGGTGAATTTGCAGGAAGGAAGGAAGGAAGGANGACATAGTCATATACTGGGAAGATAACCAGGAGGTTTGTATATATTTATACATGCACATACAAACAGACATAGTCATATACTGGGAAGATAACCAAGAGGTTTAAAAAGGAAGCTATTCCCAGAGGTGGCGGGGAGGGGAGGGAGGGAGGAAGCCAGGCAATGTGTGGGAGAGGCAAAATCTAAATATTGCTTGCATTATGGAGGATGGGAGATCTGGGGATAAGCAAAACTCTGCAATGATCAAAAGCAACACTAATTGGACCTGAAGCAGGGTGAGAGAGACAGAATACATAGTTTTAAAACAAGTTGGAAATAAATGTTACCCTTTCTTTACTAGATTTCAAGTTCTTTTCTGATTTTCTTAAGCATTTCTGCAGATTTCCTACCCCTCAACCAATGTTTAAAGCCATTGACGGCATGGTTTTCTCCACTGATCTGTTTTTCTTTTCTTTTTTTTCCCCAGATCTTCTTGCTTCACAAAATTTGAAATCTCTCACGTCCACAAAGGAAGTTCTCCTTGAACCATATCAAGTAAACAATACAACTTCACTATCTCCAACATTTACCTCCCCCCCCCCATCTCACCACCTTTAGCTCTCTTGAATTAAATCTTAATTAATTAAAGGCATGTCCTCTACAAGCAACTCAAACTAAAGATTTCTCTTGGTTTAATTAAAGCATGTTACTGTCAATATGTTTGTGATAATAATTTAATATCATTTTGAAATAATATGAAACATGTCTGCTGATAGTGGGGAGGAAAGGGAAATGAACTTTTTTTAAAAAATGAATTATGTAGTTGGGTTCTTCCACATAACATCCACGGCAGTCCAATAACATTGCACATTTCACCAAGGGATGTTCAGGTTAGAAAACTTTATGGCTAACTTTGATTACATTTTATGGCATGGAAATGTTCCCTCTAATGCTTCCCCTCTTTCATTTTGACATTTAAAGGAGCAGGGGCCATGACGTCACACTGTGCTGTCAAGGACAATAGTTACTGTCTTAAAATTATAAAGCATAATATTATACAGTCACATAAAATATGGTTGTAAGCAACTACTTGTGCCTGTGAACAAATTAAACAAAGAAGAATAGGAGTTTAATATGTTCAGGAATAATAATTCAGCAATGAGAAATGGTTGCCATTATCTATGAGCTCTTATTTTATTTTATTGTTTGCACATGGTGGAAGGGGTGAGGGAAAATTCATCTCCAGATGCTTCGAAAAAGGAAAGGGGCAGGGAAAGGCAAGGAAGAAAAGAAGGAAGGGAAAGAGAGAGAAGAAAGAAAGAAGGAAAGATGAAGGAAGGAAGGCAGAAAGAGAAAGGGAGGGAGGGAGGAAGAAGGGAGAAATAAAGGAGGTAGGAAAACAGATAGAGAAAGAGAAGAAAGAAGATAGATAGATAGATAGATAGATAGATAGATAGATAGATAGATAGATAGATAGATAGATAGATA